TTATGTCTGGAGACGCTCCTTTGCATAAACCAAAATAGTGACTAATGTCTCAGATTGATGCTTTCATTGGAAACTTACGGGTTGCTTTTCCTAAATCTTCAGGGGCGTGTGAAGGTTCTCTAGCGTGTTCGACATGCCATGTGATTGTTATGGTACAACCGCCTCATCCTTGCAATCACTCATTCACATAGATTGATCATGAATTCTGTTTTACCAAATAGTTAAAACTGTAATTGAAAATAGGACACGGAATACTACAACAAACTTGAAGAACCAACAGATGAAGAGAACGATATGCTAGATCTTGCTTTCGGGTTAACAGAAACGTGAGTTCTCTCTCTTACAGTTTAAATGGTATCACTCGGGTTTTTTTTGTGTGGTTGGTGATATGTTCCATTGAAAATGTTTATAGGTCGCGACTGGGATGTCAAGTCATAGCAAAACCAGAGCTAGACGGAGTACGATTAGCCATTCCTTCAGCTACTAGGAATTTTGCGGTTGATGGGTTCGTTCCAAAACCTCACTAGCTGCTTCAAAGTCTCTCTAGAGTTTTCAATTAGTTGAGTTCAGAGTTTTCGAGTTTACACTTGTTTATTATCCGGAGAAAACAAATATTACATAAAACCTTGGGGAGTTATAGATGTTGTAATTCAGAAGGTGAGATTTTATTTCACAGTTTCATTTAACTCAAAAGTTTTTGGTGCATTCTATTTTTGTTGTATTACGTTTGATTTTAATTTTCAGAACAAAGCTAAAAATATAGATAAATTTCTGATATTTTTATTTTATTACGGATATTAAAACTTCATAAACATTAAATGAAAAATCCTTATAAAATTATTAACACAATTCTCCAATAATCTTACTGACAAAACCAAAACAGAAAAATACCCAAAGATGGTCTCACAATTTTATATCAAGTCTAAAATTTGGCAACCTGCAATAGAATCCAAGACCCATGAACTGCTTGCAGCTCTGGCTCTTACAGATTTAGCCAAAGCTTCACCATCACATCTTCTTTGAGTCAGAGTTTTGTTCTTGCTTGGCTCTACACTAAATACTATGATCGTTGAAGAAGCTTCATTATCATTTGAAATCGGACGCCTTCGCAGGATTGTTCCTCCTGCTGCTACAATCAGATCTTGAAGATAACCTTTGTACGCAGCCTCGAAATCTCCCATAATGTAAAACTTCAATCCATTAAAAAGTTTTGCTTTCTGCATATTGTTGAATGAAACTTTAGTCCATTAAGATGAAATATTCTCAAGATGAAATATTAGCAGAGAGACGAATAAAACTAACCTTGTTCAAAGCTCTTTGTCTTCCAAGATAAGGTCCTTGTCGTATTCCATGAACATCCATGGAAATCTCATATGGCTCCTCGCTTACGTATTTTCTGTTTTTCATACAATCCTTGATCCCTGGGAGAAAAGACAGACAACATTTTGACAAATTGTTGATTAATGGTTTGATAAAATTGCAAACATATATGTTTCAATGCTGGCTGATAGAAATAGTGATACTAACAATCAATGCTTAGAATCCATTTCCCCTCCAAGATCCCCATCATGAATTTGAGGGTCCTTTTGCAGGCTCCATTTTCGTTGACCGATGCAATGACATGTGTAACACTTGGTTCCCATTTTCTCGAGATCATAACGCCAGACAGTTCTGCAAATTCTGTAATAACAGTCTGCAATCCAAGCCATCAATGGTATTTAAGTTTCAAGTCAAGAGGTTTTCATAAAGTAAAAGGAGTATGA